TTTAAAAAAATGCTCTACATCACTAATGATAAGAGAAATGCAAATCAAAAACTACCCTCAGATACGACCTTTACACCCATTAGGATGGCCACATGAAAAGAACAGAAAATAACAAGTTGGCGAGAATGCAGATAAATCAGAACCTTTGTGCACTGTTGGTGGAAATGTAAAATAGTGCAGCCATTATGGAAAACAGTATGGAGGACCTTCAAGAAAATTAAAAATAGAGGGGCGCCTGGGTGGCTCAGTCGGTTGGGCATCCGACTTTGGCTCAGGTCATGATCTCACGGTCCGTGGGTTCAAGCCCCGTGTCGGGCTCTGTGCGGACAGCTCGGAGCCTGGAGCCTGCTTCGGATTCTGTGTCTCCCTCTCTCTCTGACCCTCCCCCGTTCATGCTCTGTCTCTCTGTGTCTCAAAAATAAATAAACATTAAAAAAAAAAAATAGAAACCATACGGTAAAGCAATCCCACTTCCAGTAATATAGCCAAAAGAATTCAAAGCAGAGATATTAGCACACCCATGTTCACCCAGCCTTCTTCATAATAGCCAAGAGGCAGAAGGAACCCAAATTCACTGCAAGATGAATAAAGGAAATGGGGTAGGTATACACAATGGAATACTATGTAGCCTTAAACAAACAAACAAACAAACAAAAAGAAATCCATAGAAATCCTGTCATACTACAATATGGATGAGACTGCAGGATATTTGCTAAGCAATTAAGCCCATCATAAAAAGCCAAATGCTGTATGATTCCACTCACACGAAATGTCTCAAGTAGTCAAAATCATAGAAACAGAAGTAGAAGGTGATGTGGGTGTCAAGGTGGGGAATGGGGGGGGGGCGGGAAAATTAGTGTTCGGTGGGTACGGTTTCAGTACGGCCCGATAAAAAGTTCTAGAGGTCTTGGGCACAACGGTGCAAATACACTTAACACTACTCAACTGTACCATACTTACAACTGTTAAGATGGTAAATTTAAAGTTATGTGGATTACCGAGCAAGAAAAAGGTCTGCTGAAAACATCCAGGCTCTCCAGGCTGAAGCACGGAGACAAAAAAAGAGATGGAAAGGCGTATAAAACATAAGGGACATCGCCAAACAACTGACGTACAGGAGAGAGACGAACAGCACAGAAGGAGCGTACGAGAAACACTGGACCGTCCTTTTCCAAAACTGACGAAAACATCCGGCCTCAGATTCCGGAAGCGCTAAGAACCACCCACCGCCACCACCGAAGCCCCAGCCGAGTAGACATAAAACCACACCTCGTACCTCGTGGTAGGACTGCTGAGAAACGCAGACAAGGAAGATCTTCAAGACAGCCGGGGGGATGGAGAAGGGTCAGACTACGTTACCTTCCGCACTGTGAACAACGTGAAAGATGACTTCTCACTGGAAACGACGTGGGGGGAGGCTGCAATGCGCCCCCTAGAGCAAGTCTCCCCCAGCGCCAGAACCTGGGACTGTTCCCTTACAGAGCGAAGAGTAACTGAGTGAAGCATCTTCGGAGGAGGCGCTCATCCTGGATCGCCCGGGCCCTGAGCGCAATCACGTGGGCCCTTGTGAGCGACAGAGGGAGTTCTGAGACAGACAAACATGGAGAAGGTGAAGGAACACGGAGCAGAGAGATGTGAAGATGCTGGTGATGTGGCCACACGTGTAGGCACGCTGGCAGCCACCAGAAGCTGTAAGAAACAGATTCTCCCCTAGAGCCCTGGAGGGAGTGTGGGCCTGCCGTGCCTTTTTTTTTTTTTTTGGACCCAAAGGTAGATTTTGGACTTCTAGCTCCCAGGACTGTGAGAGAATAAACGTACGTTGTGTTAGCCACAACACCTGTGATACTTGCTACCGCAGCCTTAGGAAATGAATGCCCCATGAAAGCCAGAAGACCGTATCTTGAAAACGCAGAAATAAAAGACTGCCCGTTTAAACTTCCATATCCGTTTGCATATCCATATCCAAAATATCCATATCCATTTTTCACTCCATTTGGAGTGAAAAGTCTCCAAAGATGATGGGAAAACACATAAGCAAACAGGGAGAGAATGTGTCGCCCAGGATCCTGCACGACAGGAAGTGCTAAAGGTCACCCCACAGCAACAACAAAACAGCCACTATGTGAGGTGAAGTAACACGTTAACTCACCTTGCTGTGGTACTATGGTACCTACTGCGCGACACACGTAACAAATCATCACGTTGTGGACCTTAAACCCACACAGGGTTACATGTCGACTCTATCTCAAGAAAGCAGGGAAACAAGAGACGCTAAAGGGAGCTGCTCGGCGGCAAGGAGGGAGCATGCGCGGGGGGGCAGAGCTGCAGGCAGGCGTGAAGAGCAGGAGGCAGGGCGCGTACAAGTGAATGACTGGCGTGCACACCAACGATACAGTCTCCGGCTCAAAATACACGTCGAATGAAAGTGGTAACGGGAATGGCGGGGAGGAGGTACTTGGAAGTCAGAGGGTTCCCGTATTTTAGAATTTTTAGGGAAATGGCCAGAGTGATGACTTATGTTGGTGCTGAGGCAGACACGTACGCCGTGAGGCCTCCTGCAACCCCCCAAGGAACAAACAAAATCAATTAGGAAAACGAACAGACGGACTGGGGGACACAGAATAATGAAAATACTTGATGCAGCCAAAAAAAAAAAAAAGGTAAGCAAGGAAACAAAAGAAACATAAAACAGGCAGAACCACATAAAACAAATGGTAAGAAAGTAAAAGTAAATCCAAACCTACCAGTATATTTAATGGGGTAATTAAATACTCTGATCAGATGATAAAGATTGCCACAAGTATGCTCACTCAGACTGTGAAAGCTCATGTGGTACACTGTTCTGTAAATGTATGTACACTTTCTTTACATATATGATATTTCAAAAAATGAAAAAAGACAAATTGTCACAGCGGGTTTAAAAAAAAAAACAAAAAAACAAAAAAACCCTAGGGGTGCCTAAGTGGTTCACTTGGCTAAGCATTTGACTTTGGCTCAGGTCATGATCTCGCGGTCTCTGAGTTTGAGCCCCGCATCAGGCTCTGTGCTGACAGCTCAGAGCCTGGAGCATGCTTCGGATTCTGTGTCGCCCTCTCTCTCTGCCCCTCCCCGCTCATGGTCTGTCTCTCTCTCTCAAAAATATGTAAACATTAAAAAACAAAACAAAAAACAAAAAAAACAAAAACACCCTACAACCTGCTTACAGGAGACATTTACATATAAAGCTACGGAACAGTTTAAAGGAGAGGGACAGGAAAGGTGAACTATGCAAAAACTAACAAAAAGAAAATGGGTGTCACAATTCAGACAAAACAGACTCTAAGGCAAGAAACATTAATAGAGATGAAGATTATTTCATAATGAACAAAAGGGTCAATTTACCAAGGAAGGATCATAAATCAAAAGGTGTGTGTGCCTAAACACAATTTCCAAATATGTAACGTAAAAACCCCGAAGAACCAAACGAAGAATGGACAAATTTCTATTCTTCAAAGACGTCCCCAGGACACGCATGGAAGACACCAGAGATGGTGTCTACGGGAAAAGGGGAAGGGGAATGTGAAACTAAAGATCAAAAAAATGAAAGGGGGAAAAAAACAAAAAACCTAAAGAACAAAACCTTGCTTTAAGACATCAACAGATTTTTCTGTAAAGATCAACAAAACCAAGCAAAGGTTTTTGGCAAAAGGTTCATGCACCTAAAGATAGTCTTTCTTACATTTTACATTTAAACACGTAAACATCAGGGCGCCTGGATGGCTCAGTTGGTTAATCGCTTGACTTTGGCTCAGGTCATGATCTTGCAGTTTGTGTTCAGGCCCCGCATCAGGCTCTGTGCTGACAGTGCAGTGCCTGAAGCCTGCTTCAGATTGTGTGTGTGTGTGTCTCTCTCTCTCTGCCCCTCCCCTGCTCACACTGTCTCTCTGTCTCTCTCTCAAAAGTAAATAAATATTAAAAAAATAAAAACAAAATAATAAATAAAAGAATAAAAGAACAGAATAGAGTAGAATAGAAAAGACTACACAGAAAGATCCATTCTTAGCTCCAGGACACAGAAAAACAGATGTGGCCCACTGGCTGGGGTTTGCCAACCCTGTCCTGACGGGGAGAGACAGAGACCATGAACAAGGGTGGGATTCACTCAACCCCCTGTACCTAAGGCCTTAATTTTAAAAATAAAAAAGGGAGGAGGGGAGGAAGGCAGGGAAGGAAGAAACCAGCTGTCCTACTGGCTGCTGCTCAGTGCCACCTTCACTGCCTGCCTGCCCATGAGGGCGACATTCTAGGACACTGGACACACACCCGGGTCCCAGGAGTGGCATTCACAAGGGCCTCCTGCTTTACAGGACAAGTGCACCCTTTCCACAAGGGCAATCTGCCAGGGGATGTCTGACGCTCCCAAATATGCAACTCCAGCCCTGGCTGGGTGCCTGGTCCTGGAAAGATCTTGTCAGAATCATCAACGGACACAGGAGTGAAGCCAGAAAAGGCCAAAGATCCACAGAGACTGGTGGCTCTCGGTTACCACCAAACAGCCTATGATAACCCCGAAACAAACCAGGAGCAACACATCGAGCAGAGTCTGCTTCCGCCCATCCAATGCCTATCCTTCCTCTCTTCCTTACTAGGTACCGAGGCCGGCACAGTGCCAGCTAAGACCCTGCTTTTTCAGGGTCTCTTGACGATGCAAGTAGCCAATGAGATGTGAGCAGAAGTCACCAGTTGGGACTTCCAGGCAAGCCGTTTAAAGAGGCGCACACGGCTGCAGCACACTCTCGCCCCATCCTCCTTCCTGCTGCCTGGACACGGATGTGACGGCTGGAGCTGCAATGTCACACAGAGGGCAGGCCCTGGGGACAGCAGCGCTGCCACCCCAACCCAGACAACTGCTTCTGCACGAGAGCAGAGCAAGCCTCTATCTTGTCTAAGTCACTGTCACTGCTGTGCGGTTTCTGCAGTCAATGGCAAACCTAATTCTGAGCAAGTGTGCTCAGCCTTGCCTTCAAAGAGTGGAATGGTGTCGTTGGAAAAGGTGTCCAAGGCCAGGAGGTCCTTCCCATCTTTGGAACCGCTGCGTTTGTGCTTATGTTTCCTTCGGAAGAAGGATCTGCGTGCAGCTGCCGACAGCGTCTTTGTGGCGTTGTTGTCGTCTTTGACTTCAGACATGCTGAGTCTCCTGGAGAATTCTTGGTCCATCCTGTGGTCACAGGGAACAGTGGTGCTGGGAAGGGCCTAGGGACCACCGCCCGCCCGTCCTGCCCTGCCCGTGCAGAGGGTGCAAGCCAGGACTCCAGGCTCCTCCAACACTCCTCTCCAGGTTCCTTGGCCACATCACCCACCCATGCCACCAAGGACCCCTTGGGACCACTGATGTGGGGGCGACACACACCCCAGTGCTGGGGGAGCTCTCAGAGAGGGACAACTGCTACACTCAGGTGAGTGTCAAAAGGAGCTGCTAGGACAGCCCTCCCTTGGTGACAGGACAAGTTACACTTCCTGCCAAAAAAAGGAATGAGACACGCACGCACACCGCAACATGAAAGCACCTTGAAAATGGTATGCTAAGTGCAAGCAAGCACCCAGTCTCGGAAGACCACACTCGCATGAAAGTCCACAACAGGGAACTCAACAGGGGCAGCAAGCACAGTCATGGCCGCCTCGGGTAGCGGGGGCAGGAGGCAGCTAATAGCTAACGGGGACAGGGCTGCTTCTGAGGTGATGGGAAGGCTCTAAAATGGATGGTGGGGACAGTGGCACATGGCTGTGAATACACTGAAAGCCACTGAACCCGTACACTTGGGGTGAACTGCACGGTGGATGAATACATCTCAATAAATCGGTTAAAAATAAAAAAGTTATGTCTCCTGAGTTGCCACCATGCTTCCGTATAGCAGTGACTTACAAACATTGAATTCTGCTAGGAGCAGCTTTTTGGACAAGCGGTGTGGGCAAAACATACAGACCAGAGCCAGGGTGCACGGCAGAATGCGTCCCAATCCTGTGGGACAGCCCCAGGTTGGGCCCCACCCTACCCCCAAGCCCAGACACCAACACTTACACGTATTTGCTGGGGATCTGCCCACGCTGGATCTTCTGGGCATTCTCGTCCAGCTGCCAGGCCATCCAGGACCCAAATGTGCCCTGAGGCAAAGTGTCGTCAATGTAGAGGATGTCATCTTTCTTAAAGCTCAGCTCATGCTCCACCTCGGCCAGCCGGTCGTAGAGGGCCCTGGACCAGGTGACAGAAGGACCGGGATCAGAAGCTGCTGGCTACTGGAGGACTGACCAGCCACACAACTTGGCAGCCAGTCTCCTGGGACAGTCCCCCTGCTCTAAGCTTTCCCCAGGCCACGATCAGGACCCACCTCTCCCCTTCCTGGTGGCAGTTCCCAAAGGAGGGAGCCCCGGCTTTACACAACAGGACAAAGTCACCTTGCCTCCCTGAGACCGGGGGCTCCCTGGGGACAAGGGCTGCCTCACATCCATCAGAGAAAGATCTTGTTGCCAAGGACCAAAACCATATCGCCCCTTCCAAATGGAAGGACTTTCTTCCCTGAGTCAAGGTCAATGGTTCCTATAGAATGGAAACTCCTCAGGATGGAAATGTCATCTCCCACCAAGGAAGATGTCCTAGAGACAGAGACCTGTACCTTATGGTACACAGTTAGTTGAGCGGCATTTTTATTCATTGTGGCTTCAGAACTTAAAGAACATGAAGGAACTGTGAGCCCCTTCTAGACAACACCTGCTGTCTGAGCCACACACAAGTCGTAAAGCACTTTGGGCACACACTGCAGATGAATCTGCAGACTTGGGTTGCGGGGGAGGGCAGGAGAAGCGTGCAGCCCACTGGAAAATGGGGTTCCGTGGCCTCAAAATTTCCCAGGCCCCAAGCCCTAGGGAGCCTGTGTGGTCCTGCAAACCCTCAGGCATTTTCCTAAGTCATAAGCATCTCACCGTGAACTTGTGGTTTGGGACCCAAGCAACAAGGACCCTGGTCCCACCCTCTGTGTTTCAGAGACACTCATCAGGACCAGTCTCCTCAGGAAGCCCCGCCCCTGGCCCTGAATCCCCAGAAGCCCTGGCCCCTGGTACCTGATGTAGAAGCTGTCACCAGGCAGGCTCTTCACCTTGGTGAACTCCTCAGGGCGGTACTGCACCTTGAGACGGACACCGTCCTTGGGCTTCAGCATCTCCACGTAGACCTCCTCCACCGTCTTGCCACGCATGTCCAGACTGCCGTACTGCCCAAGGACAGGGAATTGAGGTCAGAGGACAGGGGCCGGGGCGGCCTGGGTACCCATGAGTGGGCAGTTGTGGGACAAGGCAGAGATTTAAGATCCCCTCAACTGGGAATCTGCCTGCCTCACCTCTGCAGGTAAGGCCTAGTCCTCTGCCCAGAGGCAGTCTGGACCTGCCAGTCCTCTGCCAGTGTCCGCCCTGCCCTCAACAGCTTCTCCCAGGAGAGACCCTGTGCCAGTTCCCCAGCAAGTAAGGGTTATAAAACATGGCACTTTATCTCACTCGTGCTACTTGTGTCTTTGAACACCTATGAGCCCTCTCCCCCATCAAAGGGGAGACCCAGCCAGAGGGAGAAGACACTCCATCAGACCACAGTCCTGCTGCTCACACAGCAGAGCATCCTGCCTCCTGCTTCCCTCCCGACACCAGCACCCAAGCCAGGGCCCTGCCCACATCCCTGTGACCCACCCCGAGGATCCTCAAAGCATTCAACAGGGGGCACCAGACAAGAAGCTGTGCTCTCTGCCTCCTGGGCCACTTGAGATCACAAGAGTCCAGAGGTGTGGGCAGAGAAGGGCGGGCCTGCTGCTCGGCAGCCCAGAACTCACCTCAAGGATGAGGTCTCCTGGCACAAGGCCATCGGGGCCCTTGGCAGGACTATCATCCTCCACCTCAGCCACAAACACCCCGTGCAGGTTCCCTCCACATAAATGCACGCCAAGCTCCAGCTGGGACTTTTTGATGAAGACAAGTCTCGGCTCTGGGGTCTTCTTGTTGGCTTCTCCCACCATCCTTTTGGTTAGGAAAATAAAGTTCCTCAATCGCACACGGCGGGGAGCAGGGCATGAACGACCAAACAGGCTAATGACTGGACAGTTTTCCGCTCACTCCATGAGGTTTCAGAACCACTGGGAGCTGACAGGTGGTCCCATCTGGGTTCTGGTTCTAGTGACTTGGTTTACAGGCCAGCTGCTGGGGTTTGTAGAGGTGAAAACGTGGCCCCACTTGAGAAAACGAGCTGGGGATCCAGTAGAAATCAACACCCCTACTTCTTGGCCCAGCTGCCAGCCGAGCGCCATAGGCAGCGTCTCTCCCCACCTGGACGGCATGTGTTCTCCTGACCTTGTTCTGCCAGAACTGAGAGCCGGTCTCATGGTTCAGGGCACAAAACAAACCATTCACCAATGTTTACTGAGCAGCTTCTATGGCCCAGAGACCATGCTAAACCATGAAGAGAGGGCCCCTTGCCATCAAGGAACTCACAATGTAGGAGGGAGACTGAGTGCCAGCAAACTGAGTGGAGGCAACACGACAGTGCCTGTCACCGATGAGGGGGCCCCAGGGGACAGGCCAGCTGTGATTACTGCAGACAGGTTCCAGCGAGATGGACCCAGGGCAGAGGACAGAGGTGGCTGCATTCTGGGTGAGGCCAGGGCTTGGTCAAGGGGATAGCTCTGTCCGGAACTACAGAATGACTGCCATGTGCCCTGGCCCCGTGGCCCTCTCCCCATCTTCCCTCTGGATCCTGCTGCTACACAAAAGTTGACCCCCTCCTCCTGACCCCTCTCCACGCCCACCACTTGCGTGGCTAAACCCTGCTCACCCTGAACATTTCAACTTAACTATCACAGCTCCCTGTCACACTCTCACTGACTGCTCCGTCATGGCCCATAGTGGCTCTCCCAGCACATGCTGCACATGCCTGGACACCTGCCTGTCACCCTCTAAACCCGCGGCTCCCTGGGGGCGACTGCTGGTGATGGCCACAGCCCAGGTCCTGGTTGGGTGTTGACTGTGGAATTCTGTCTAAAGACAGTCAGAAAACAAGTAGATGAAAAAAGGAGGAAGGAAAGGAGGCAGAGCTAAGAACAAGTCAATGAGAAAAAAGGAGAAAAACAAGAAAGTGAGGAAAGGTCGGGACGGAGGGAGGAAGAAGGAATGGCACGCTTCCCATCCCAGATCCTGACAAGCTGCTCTGCGGTCTGCGGCACAGGGGGACGCCGGCAGGATGCGCTCGGGCCACAGCGATGGCTGCCTGTCCACCCCACCGGGCCGGGGAGCAGATGCGGGAACAGCACACATTTGCTGACCTGGAACTGGGGGTGCTCTGCTTGGCCGGGGGGGCACCAGGGCCCTCGTCCTGCTCCATCAGCGGGTCGATGACAGAGGGATGCTCCGGGCTGGTGGCACTGCTGCCCTGGAGAGTGGAGTGAGCGCCGACAGGGTCCAGGTGGGAGCTGGGGACCGAGGTCAGGAAGAGTAAGGAAAGGCACACAGTCCTCAGCCGTCCCCAGCCACCCGCTCTCTGGCGGGGACCAGGGCTGGGCTGTGAACAGAGACTGGGTCACATGGCTCTGAGCCCTGAGAAGAGTAGCTCTCCTGGGAGCCTGGACTCGGGTCATCCACCTGACAGGATCTGTCTTCTCCTCCCCACCCGTCCTCAACCAGGGGGTCCTCTCTGAAGGTGTCGGCCTGGGGACACACACATTCACTGCGTTTGCACATCCTGCCCCCTTCGCTGAGTTGCGCAGTGCTGCATGGCAGGGGCAGGTTCTCCCCTTCTCTCACGTGCCCTGCAACCCACAGCTCGGGGGCAGAGACAGGCAGCGTCTGCTCGGGGACTGAGGGCCAGAACACTGCATGAAAATCCCGCCCCCAGGGCCTCAGCTCCTGGCTACCACACACCTGTGTGGGGCTTCCTGCTGCACCGGGGGACCCAGCCACATGCTTCCAAACCCACACCTCAGGTATCCTACTTCACATCCTCCCCCTATATGTCCTTCTCCCCAAGTCCAGGGCTGGCCAACTCCCCTCTTACGGCAACTGAACGGCCCAGAACATACAGCTAGCACCTTGGCTGCACCCTCTCTCCTCCCCCAGCCCAGATGGCCCTCGTAGAGGCCAGGCCCTCACCTGGACCGAGAGTGGCAGCTGAGCTGGTGCATATGTGGGTTGTACTGGGCCAGAATGGTGATAGTGTCACACTGCTGTCCAATGATGAGCCGGGCCTGTTGCTCCGTGGCACTCCGCAGGTTTATGCCATTGAACTAGGAAACATGCAGAGCACGCTTGGTGATGTGGTGGGGGGTGGGGACCGGGGGAGGAAAGGCGGAGGGAAGAACAAAGTGCAGAAGGCCAGCTCCCACTTACCTCAAGTAACTGATCCCCATACTCGAGGCCAGCCTGGTGGGCGATGCTTCCCCCAGTCACCTTGGAGACGTAGACCCCGCCCTTCTCTCCACTCACGATGGAGATGCCCAGAGGCTCCGAGCCCTTCTGCAGCTTGACGTGGCGTGGCTCCTCCACATAGGGCCTTGGAAGAGAGCCAACAGTTGTGGGGACTCAAACACAAAGGAAAGGGATGGGGAAAATCTGAAGTCGGGCATGCAATCGGCTACGCAGAAAGGGCCAGGGATCGCCGGGTGCTCCTATAATGACGCAGCTGGATGAAAACACAATGACCCCACTTTGTATGGCAGTGATACACATTCCCACAACCTCATGCAATATAAGCACGACACCCCCAAATGGACACAGAAGCACCCAGTCCCAAAGACACAAAGAATGGGCCATGTGAATTATAAACACTGATATAGCAGGGAAAAAGCACGAAGTTTCATAACGTGAGAGTTGCCTCAACAGAATGTGCAATTTACAAACCCCAGTGGGGTCCCAAGATGCCCCAGGAGGAAAAAAAAATGGCTCCTGTGATGACAGTCACCCAGAAGAAACAATATCAAGTATCACTTTTTATATTTACCAGTATATAGGGTGATGTACAATGACCATGGAAATTAAGCCGCGGCAAACCCAAGCCATTAAAAAGGGAGCAGGGAGGCTCGGAGCAAGGCGGTGACCATGCACTTGCTGGCCCGGGGGCAGCCGTCCACCGTGCCAAGGGCACGAGGGGGCTCAGGCGGGGGCCTCATGTCAGGCCAACCTCAGACTCCTCAGGGAGGAAAACCTGGGCCTGGTGGCCACGGGCAGTCTCAGGAGGGATCTGTGGTGGTGAAGACATCTGGAAGGTGCAAAAAGTTAGAAAGAAAAGAGGGATGCTCAGAGAAGGATGACAGACGCCTGGAACCTAACGGAGAGAAAGATGGCCAGGTGATGCCAAATCATCCCATGAGGACTGTGCTGTCCTAAGCTCTTCCTCTCGGGACAAAACCGCAGCCAAAGGTCCAGGGAGGAGCCAGCTGGAGCACCACGTCCTTGGGCTCCCCTCCAGAGCACGTGGGTGGGGGCAGACTCACAGACTGTGACAGACTGCTGGACAGACCGGCAGGCCGCTGAGCCACCCTACCCCTGCCACCTAGAGGCACAGTAGTCTCTCCAGCACAGCGGGCCTTGGGCTGGGACCCCACGGCCCAGGGCTCAGTCCTCTGGCGATCTGAGATCACAATCCTTCTTGTCTCATCCCTTCACGTTCCCTGCCCTCTCCTCCTCCCAAACTCACCCAGCTGCAATGCCCTCCCTGACCCTGCAGCTCAGACACCTCAGTCCCTGGCTTGCACCCGTGGTCACTTCCAGACGCAACACGTATCAGAGCACCAGCAGTCTGGAGTTATAAGAAGCCTTATCCAGCAGCCACCACACCATCCTCACACCCCCAGCCAGCCTCGGAGGACAGCACAGCAGGTGCGGGCAGATCTCGTTTCTGGTCTGGGCTCCTCATCCCCTGCTGATCACCCTTCCTGTGTTCCACCTCCAAAACATACTTCTATCTCAAAAAAGCAGGAGGTAAGAGCCATATAACAGAAGGCACAAAGCCATTATGAACGATGAGTCAGGATTTGCCGACATGGAAAGACACAGAAGGCACACACTGCATGAGCACACAGGTGGGTGTAATCCTATTTACATAAATCTGTACATGTACACGTGTCTCCTCACGCATGGAGACGTCTCTATGAAGGACCCTACCAAGATGCTAACAATGGCACCTCTAAGTGAGGGACCTGAGGTGATCCTTACTTTTTCATCCCCTTAATGATCTAAGTTTCTTACAGTAGGCACAAGAGTTTTCTCAGAATAAGGCTGCTTTGTGAAAGAGATTAACAAAGCATACTTCACGATATAACAAATACTTTGAAGCAAGTATTTCTGTATGGGAAATACAAATAAAACATGCCTTTAAACAATGTACATCACACACTTAACAGAAGGGAAACAGCAACCGAATCTTCAGTTGAGGAGATTATATGTGACTTCTCTTCCACTTTTCTATTTTCCCCATTTTCTATAATAAGAAGTTATAGGATAATGTACTTTAGAATCAGGGGAAAAAGGCTGCTTTTTCTTCAGTCAGGCTACACATGCTAAATTTCATGCCTCTAACTAGAGCACCGTGCAGGCAGGAATGTGGACACTTTTCTCTCCCCAGAGCAATGCCCAGTTCTCTGTAGGCTACAGGAACTGAGGGGATACCCAACTACAGGTGACAAGGCCCTTTCTGCTTCCAGGGAACTCACTTCAGTTGTCACCTAGTTTCTCAATGACCTAAGCTGGACTTAGGTAAAACCACCCACCAGACCCAGGACTTAGTGCAGGTTAGTGCTCCTGTGTATGTGTCACATGGGCGGGACACTCCCACATGAACCGTACATGCTTCTTCTGTGGGCCGAGGTGCGTTGGCGTTTAGGTATACTTCTGTGCTCCAGTTAGTATGTGCCAGGTTCTTAGGTTACTTGTTAGGTTGTCTTACAAATACAGATTTTCAAGTCAAAGGACTTTCCTAATGCTGGGCCCACCCTGCAGGGTCTCTTCCGAGGCTCACAGTGACAAGCGCCCTCAGCATTTTGGATTTGAGGGGAACGAGAGTGGCTCTGTTGCTTTTAAGTGATTCAATAAAGCCAAGTTTGAGTTTCATCAGATCTTCTGAAGGTTTAGGATCTGGATAGGACCTCTTCACTATAAGTATGATCTAGTAAATTCTACTGTGAAGAACAAGAAAGTTGGGTGAGGTGTGCAGAGCTTGTGGGGGGAGTGAGAGACCCCTCAGAGGAAGCATGTCTGGACTGATACCAGCCTTAAGTTAACCTGAAACCTCAGCAGATTGGCCAGCATTTTACAATAAACCAATAAATGGCTAAGCTATACTTCTGTGCTTTATGTATGTTTTCTTCTGTGTATATTTTATTTCACAATAAAAAGCTCAGTGGGGGCCACCTGGTGGCTCAATCGGTTAAGCGTCTGACTCTAGATTTCGGCTCAAGTCATGATCTCACACAGTTCGTGAGATCGAGCCCCAAGTCGGGTTCTGCGCTGACAGTGTGGAGCCTGCTTGGGATTCTCTCTCCCTCTGCCTCTGCCCCTCCCCTGCTCAAATGTGCATGAGCACTCTTTCTCTCTCTCTCTCTCTCAAAATAAATTGATTACTTAATTAAAAAAAAAAAAAGCCTGGGAATGAGGGGGCAAGCGATGCAGGTGTGTCCTGAGGCCAAAAAGCAAAGAGTAAGGATGGCCTCAGGTTCCTTATCTGTAAAACAGAGCCAATAATGATGACAACGGTGATAATGATGCTCATGGGGTCACTGGGAGCATTTCCTGACTTGTGACACGGAAGTGCTTCATCAAGGGCCAGGGAAGCAGTGAATGGTGCCACTGCATCGTCACCACCAGGTGGTCCAGTATCACTTGCTGCAGCTCACCACCTCTCGTGGACACTCAGTGGAAGCAGCCTATCTGCCCCTCACTTTGCCCCCTACGCATACCTGCCCACTCTTAGCACTCCGTGGCAGGGCTTCCTGGTGAAGCTTTGGGGCAACACACCAGAGAACGCTAGGCGACCCAAAGCAGCCTGGCCCTGGGATTGACCCTGTCAGAACCCTCCCACACCTGCTGCCTCTCCCAACAAGCCCCGCCCCCTGCGGGGACACACCGCCCACTGCCATGCCCACGGCACGGATGCCCGGTCCCACTCACCGGTCCTTTCTCCGTTCCCCGAGGGCCGCGGGGTTGACGGCAATCCTGGGCAACGTGGAGGCTGAGGTCTGGGACTGGCTACATGAGGACAGGGTGTCGATGTTCAGGGGTGACTGGGGAGGCGTGCTGCACTCAGAATGTGACAACGAACCTGCCGGGAGAGGTGCAAAGTAATTCGGGCCGCAGTCTCACATCTCCGTTCTCCTGTAGCCGAGACCCAAGAGGGAGACGTGATCCAGGCACATGGTTGGCTCCACACCATGGCCACACCACATGGTCTCGAATTTAGGTGCTGGGCTCTGCGTGGCCTCTCTATCCCCCGTGTCACCAGGCCTGAGGCATGCACGGACTGGCTGGGATGAGGAGGAGGTTGCCTGCTGCACCCAGACATCGCACACAATGAGGCTGGAGTCAGCTAGCAGGAGAGGAGGGGAATGCTGAGTTCTCACCTCTGTCGGAGCCCACAACAGACCGTGGGTATCTTGGTGTCGAAGGGATTTTAATGCGTTCCGCCTTGAACTGCAAGTTGCTCGAAGACCCTGTGGTTCCACAAGGGGACAAAACTTCAGGGCTGTGATTTAACACCACCCCTTGCTCCTTCACCACCCCTTCAGTAGTTAGGAAAGAGGCACAGTCAGGACAAATGCAAAGCAGGCCCTGCTACTTACCCCTGAGGGTGCCTAAATGTGAAACGGTCTAGGAAAGCGGATATTAACACCCAGTATTTGAGTAAACTGCGGGCCTGGACCGCTCCAGAGCAGAATCCCACAAATCTCATTCCTAGCCCTGGACAAGGACAGTAACCCAAGTGACAGAGGGGACTGCTTGTCTCCACCCCACATGGCTGGAAGCAACACCACTGGAATGCCTATGTGAGGGAACTGCCAGTCTCTCTCTCTCTGGGTTCCATTTCCCACAAGTGAGCAGTGATACAAACCCCCAGAATCGCTGACAGGCTCAGCGACAGAAAGCAAGGCTTGTGGGCCATGGGTCACCTGGAACAACCACGTGGCTGCTAGGGAAGGCCTAAGAGACACAGAAGGCTAAGGGAGATGACTCTGAGTGCAATGTGGAGCCAACCTCAGCCCCAGGAGCAGAGAAGGGCCCATGGGGGCAGGCCACCGGGAGGCCTGGCCACAAGGATGCAGGCAGAGAGGAAAACAGGCCCCACTAAGGTGAGAAGGTTCCAGTGGCACAGTTACCAAGGCGGGCGCTGGAGGGCAGAGAGTTGGACCCATGAGAGGTTCTCATCTCTGAGTAGTCGCTGCCAGTCCTGTGGCTCAGATCCAGGCTCAGGCGTCCCTGGTGCTGGACGCTGCAAGAGAAGCAGACAGGTGAGGCATCAGGAGGAGACCAGGACCAGACCCAGCCGCTGGGGAGAAACAAGCAGCAGGCCTGGCCCAACACATCCCTGAGCCCACAGAAGGGAGGCCCAGAAGCCACCTGCCATTAGCTGGGGACAACAGACTGCCATACCCAGAGGCGGCACCCAGTGAGGGTCCTGCCTACAGAGAAAGGGCTGTGAAGGTAGAGGGGTGGCATACTCACTTTGGCCCTGGACCAGGACTGGGCTCTACCGGGAAAAAACAGGCTCAGAATCCTATCTGTGCCCAGAGAAGTGGTGTCTCTCCTCCAGGATGGGTGGGGGAGGCTGGATGGGCACCAAGGACCTTGGAGAGGAACCTATATACCTCACTCAGGACAGCTGCCTAGGACGCTGGAGGGCAGAGAGCCCAGGCATCACCCATATCAGGGGCCTCCAATCAGGCCCAACAGTGTCCTTTTCTAGCTATGTAATGAGACCATCTCTCTTTCCAGCCTAAAGCCTAAACTAGGAAAAACTCCAAACATTGCATCATGGCTACAGGCTCTACAGGATCTGTGCCCTATAACCTGTGCTCTTCTCCTGATTCACTGTACCCGTGCCAAGCTCCCCACTCTGTGTCAGCCTACCAGGTTCCCAGGTGCCTGGGCTGTGGCTCCTACGGCCCTCCTTCCTGGAGACTCCACCCAGGTCTTATGTAGTTGACCTCATCTCAGCCTCTGGATCCCGGTAGCATCCCCACTCTGCCCCCACCGCAGGGCCCTCCCACCCACCCAATCTAACTGTCCACCCTCTTCCAAGTCACAGCCTAGCTGGTCGCTCCGTTTTGCGGTCTTCAGAGCTACTCAACATCACCTGGTATCACTCTGTTCATTTTTCTCTCTGCCTCCCACACGCCAACATAAAGGCCACATGAAAAGAAGCTCACTGGTTTAGTCCTCCACTGTATAGTCTCCTGGAACTAGTACAGTCCATGCCACATAGTAGGTGCAAAATTAAAACCTGTCAAACAACCGAATGAAGGAATGGGTGACCCTGAGCCAGTCCATTCACTTTTTAAGGCTCAGTCTCCTCATCTATACACCAGAGACAACAACAGTCCTTAGCTCACAAGGTCACTGTGGCAATTACAAGAGATGAGGTTTGTTTGTTGTCTTTTTAATTTTTTTTTTTAACGTTTATTTATTTTTGAGAGATACAGAGACAGAGTGCGAGTGGGGGAACGGCAGAGAGAGAGGGAACCTGAGGGAGGCTCAAACAGGCTCCAGGCTCTGGGCTGTCACACAAGCCGACGGTGATCTCGGAACTCATGAACCGTGAGATCAGCGACCAGGCCAAGTCCCGGACGCCCACATGCTACAGAGCCACCAGGCACCCCAAAAGACTTGAGGTTGAAATGGTTGAAGCTGACATGCCTGGCATGATGAGCACTAGTTAAAGCCAGCTACCATACTCTTACTGCTCTTTAAAATGCACACCTCTTTTCCTTTTTTTAGAGAGAGAGAGAGACAGAGACAGAGAGACAGAGAGAGAACCAGCAGGGGAGGGGCGGGGGAATGATGATCCAAAGTACTTGTGCTGACAGCAGAGAGCCCGATGTGGGGCTTGAACCCATGAACCATGAGATTACAACCTGAGCCGAAGGTGAATGCTTAACTGACTAAGCCACACAGGCGCCTTTAAATGTCTTTTCAAGCTTCTTGTTGGTGAATGAAGAGAGCACCCTTAAAGTTCACTCCTCCTGGGGTCCCAGCGCTGCTCTAACCAGCCTCTTCTCAGCTTGGCAGGGACGCTTCTCTGCCCATGGGCCACTCTGTGCACCAGTAGCTTTTTGTGCACACGAATTTGGCCAGCTGGCGTGCAGGTAAGTGAGGGGTGACTTTACATACCTGGGGTGCAAACCCTGGGGGCCAACCTCTCTGGGCACAGGCGGAGAGCTGCATGGGCCGACCCTGTGGCTACGCACAGTGTAGATGGGGTTCCTCAGGATGGAGCTCACAGTGGTGCTCGGGGTCATACTCCGGGGAACAGTACCTAGAAATGGACTGGGTAAGAACAATCACCCCAAAGCACCCAGCCTGCCCCAGACCTGTGCAAACTATTGGCTTTCTGCATCTGTAAAATGGGAGAACTCACTTTATGGCTCCCTATTTCCCAGGCTGCTATGGAGAGGTGGTCTGAAAAGCTAAGAAATGTCCCTGATAGAAGATTAAACATCTCAGAGAGGGGAAGTCATTGCTAGATCTTTGGACCTCAGGGCTGAGGACACACAGCAGCATCTTGACATGACTGATTCCACTCTCCCTGGGAGAATGCTCATACAGATCTCATACAGGGCCCTGCGAGCCCACCATGGACCCTCCTCCCCAGCCCCAACAACTCACCCACAGATGCCCTGCCAGGGTAGAATGGGGGGTTGCTGTGCCTGCTGGGGTGCCCTGGTGAGTAAGGGGACCATTCCTGAAGCTCTGGGCAGAGTTCTCCACCGGCCGGGACACACTTCTGCTCCTGCAGGGCCAAAGATGAGAGACAGTGGCTGGAAATGGAAATGTACGGGCATCTGCAAGTCTGTCCCCTACGTACTAGCTCTCCCACTCGGACACATGACGGGACAGTTGGGAGAGGTCACTGCTCATTCATGTTGCCTTACACACCTGGAAGGGAAGAACCTCCTTCAAAACTACTCTGGAAGAAAACCCCAGAGAAAGAATCCATTCTCTCAAGTAAACAAATAATGTGCAGGAGGTGGAATGCACAGGTGCCTCTGGCACAGATGTGACAGCTCCTCAAAACATGCATGCCTGTGCCAGGGTCTTTGTCCGCAGAAAGTGGCATGGATCTGTTCTCCAGCTCACAGCAATCGCTCCCATCTGAAAATGACTACAATACCCACACAAACAAGCTGGCCGCCGCCTCCTGCTGCCGGCGACAGACTCACAAGTGCTGTCTTGGCTCCCAAGACCCTTCCAGGCAGGGCCATGTCACTTGCTTTTGTTGTGCAGTTCAAAAGCTTCTTGTTGGAAAAGCAAATCAAACACCACACCCAAGAAAGTGTTCCTGTCTTGGCATCATATGGCCACTAACATGCACGCCCCCTACGTTACTTTCCAATCTCCTAAGGAGGGCTCCTTCTCATGGCACCCACCAGGCACCCCATCCTGGAGTAGGTGCTTAGAACGAAGGCAAAGGAGCCAGGGCTGAACATGAAGCTGGGGACACCGGTTCAGGGCCCCTCCCCACGCCTTCACCCCCACCCCAGGATTGAGCTCTACCTCCAGGAACTGAGCAGGAATCACTACTGGAGCCAGCTTGGGCCGGAAGCTGGGAGCTGACTTTGGACGACGGCGCTTCTGCCCCAGCTCGTCCATCTTCTGGGAGGTGAGGTCCCCGTCACAGGACTTCTTGGCAGGCAGATAGGAGGAGTCCCCGTCCCCTTCAGGGTAGTAGCTGGAAGCAATGCGGACTCTGGCCTTGCGAGGGGGTGAGGTGTGCGTGAGTTCCCCGGGGTCCACGCCAGGGGGCAGTGCGCTCGGGGGGCTGGCAGACGGGGAGCTGCCAACCAGAGTAGCCTCAGACTCGGAACTGGTTTCCAGTCTGTGCTGGAACTTAATGGAGTCGCTCCTCCTGGGAGGTTTTGGGGGCGTCAGAGGCCCCACCCTCTTAGAGGTCTGGGGAGAGTGAGCAGACCCAGGGCCTGGGAGCAGGTAGTCAATTTTGGGGGGAGTCTGGGGGCGTTTGAAAGTGTTAGGGTCAAAGATAGACTTTCTTTGCTTTGGTTTCTTATAAACAGAGAGCTTCTCGGGCCCTGCCGCGGAGCCGAGCACAGCCTTGGGCCAGGTCCCGCCGCTGCTGGAGCTCTCAGGTTCTGTCTTATCCAGGGGGGCCTCTGCCGCCCCGCAGGGGCCCCCCTCTGTGTCGAAGGGCAGCAGCGGTCGCCGGCTGCGCACATCCACCAGCCCGTAGCCACGCTCCCCGGAGGTGTCTGAGCGGAAGGAGCTGAGGCTGCGCTCGGACGCGCTGGGACAGGCCTGGGGGGAGACGGGAAAGGGTCCCGCAGGGAACGGCTTGTGCAGGAAAGAGCTGCTGCCTCCTGGGGGGCCCGGCTCCCTTCTCTCCTCCAGCCTGTCCGCATAGAAGATGTCCGTCTGCGTGGAGTTATTGTGCTGCAACAGACTCCGTTTATTCTGGGCCTGTACCTCGGTGCCGTGGGCTCGGATGCTCAGCATCTTATCAGAGTCCTTGATGTTCTCGAAGATGTTCTGGCCACTCCACGAGGAGCTCTGAGGGAACACCTGTGTGGGGGTTACAGGGAGTGAGAAATAGCGGGTAAGACAGCCGAGCCCGGTGCTGCCACCGAACGCCGTCCCCGCAGGGGCCACACACACCCCAGAGACGGCTAGCGCGAGGCGCATGCGCACGCACACCTCTCCCTGACCGGCGCTCTCTGCTGGCCCGGCCGTGAACCCGCAGGAGAGAGAGAGGGACTTGGAGTGCTATCTGCAGTTTGCCTGCGCAGTGCCCTGCCTGTATTTCTCTTTTAATTGTCAAATGAAAAAGGATTCGTTACTAAAAATCTATATCGTGTAGCACATTCACATGATTTTAAATTATTCAGCAATAAAAAGAAATGAGCTACAAAGGCATGAGAAGACATGGAGCAAACTCAAATACGTATTACTAAGCAGAAGAAGCCAATCCAAAGAGGCTACATACTGTGTGATTCCAGCAATATGACATCCTGGACAAGGCAAAACTACGGAGACGGTATAAAGATCAGTGGTTGCAGGTGCTGGGCTGGGGGGGGGGGG